TCTGTCCACATTATTTTTGTATTAAAGGAAAAAAGATGGTCTCTGAGGCTATGACTTGCTCATCATTTGCCTTTCCACACTAATGAGGGAGACAGTGATGACATGGGTTATTTTGGGTTAGCCATTTTATTGTTTAAGCACATAATCAGAAATGTATATGCAAGTACAAAGCAACCTCCCTTTTACGCTCAACCCTGTGTCATTTCTGTGTGTACCTGAGTGGACAATCTTTGAAGAGACAAATGAAAATTGGAGGTTTGCCATGTTTTTCCAATCAGCTGCTGCTCACTATTTTCCAGTGAGAACTCATGTTTCTATGGGTTATTTGGGCTGGTGGAAATCCTGGTCAAGGTCGCCATGAAATAAAGAAGGTAATTTGATTTAAATTCAGAAGGAAACCTGGTGTTCCAGCTGATTTTCAATTTACCTGCAAGGTCAGACCAAAACTTCCGGACATAGTTTCCCTATCCCAACAATGTGACAGAAATGCCGTCTGGTCTTCCTTACCAATTCATTAGAAGCATCATATTAAATGTGAAACATGTAAACCATTAAACCTTAGAGCATTATGTACAAGAGGCAGCTCATTATCTCACACACAAAATTTAAATAGTGTTGAGGAAATGTTGGCATTATAAGTAAGTCTCCCACAACCACGACAAATAATTAGGAGTTTACTATTAAGGCTCATGAAAGGCAAAGTGCCAATTGTAGACTGATTTTTTTCAGACCAGAAAAAATAAAATTTGCGTATAAAAAGCTCCTTGCGAAAGCTCCTATAAAACACATCCTGCTCCGCTATCACTTGTCAGCCAAAGTCCATTCTTTCTTTCATTGTTTTTCTTGACCAGAGAAAATTCTGTCAGTTGTAGATCTTTATAAAGTTTGAAAAAGTGAAACCTAAGAGTTGTCTATTCTCTACCTAGAAATCCTTCCTCTTGGCAAAGTTCAGCTCCTGCCCCACCCACCCACTGCTGAGCCTTGGCTTAAAGACCGGCGTGATGACTCAGCTGCTCCACAGAGCTGCTATCTGAAGGTACTATTGAGTGCGGATGTTTGTTATTAATAAAATATCAAAGTGCCTGTTTTTCTCATTTACTGGGTGGCAGTTATGTGGTATCTAGTAACTAGATTAAAATTTCAGATTAAAAAAATAAAAATGATAAAATAAAATTTCAGACTAAATAAGTAACCTTTAAATCCTCTTTTCCATTCTCCTTAAATCTTTAAGTAGTTTTTCTTCCCCCCTCCAAGAATATTTTTGAATGATAGTTTAAGTGTAGGGAAGTAGTTGGGTAATAGGATACTGACTACTGGATTTGTAGAGCAAGCAATCTATCTTAGAAAAGGCAGGGCTTTTAAAGAAACACAGAAGACTTTTCAACCCTGGCACCAGCGTTTGTTAACTGTGGGACTTTGGGCTGATAATTTAAGTTTGTGGAATCTCTTTCTTAAAAACAACAGATAATAATATCTACTTTGCAGGTCTGTCATGAAAATTAGAGAAAATTACGAGTGCTAGAATTTAAATGTAAGGAAGGAAATCAATAAATGGTAGCAAAACAATCATAATTTCTATGATTAATGTGATTACAAAATGCCAAATGTAATTTCTAAAGTATGTGGGTCTATTGAATCAGTGTGTAAGAGTTCAAGGGCAGATGCCATTCACTTAGCATGATTAGCTTTGAGTCCCACTGTGAGCAAGGTACTCAGCGAAGTGTTGAAAATACAGTAGGTATCCAAACCGGCAAGTTATCTGATATAAGAGGCTTACCCACACTTGGAATATAGACAAATGGACAATGGCATAGAATGTGGAACAGAAATGTAATGATATCTGAAATAATGTAGGTGAAGTTAGAGCCTGTCAAGGAAGAAAATGATGAAAGAAAAGGCCAGATGGCTCTAGAAGAACATCAGAGAAGAGTTAACAATGTACAGAGCAAAAATAATGTAGGGAGATAAGAGTCCGAATTTAATAATCAAATGTGGAGCAGTTCTAGGAACTGACAAAGTCTGAGGTGGTCATGGCAGTGAACCCTTAGATGGGGCAGAGGCTGGACCATTGGGTGGATGAGAGCATCCCTCCAAGGACATGCTGGTCCAGGTGGACAGGTAGGGGGGGCCTCCTAAAGAACAGGCTGGGAGGGGAGATGCTTTCACTTCTTTGAAAGGAGTTAGCCAAAGTCTGGATTGATTTCATGGTGAAGTACCTAAACGTGTGTGTGTGTGTGTGTGTGTGTCGAATATTCATGAATAATAATTAAAAATAATAATAAGAAAGCATTTACGATTTCTAATTATTTATGTTCCAGCTACTGTTTTTTTTTTTTTCAGCTACTGTTCTTTTTTAAAGATTTTCTTTTATTTATTTGAAAGAGAGATAGTGATAGAACACAAGTGGGGCAGAGGGAGAGGGAGAAGCAGACTCCCATTGAGAAGGGAGCCCCACACCGAGGCCTGGGATCAGGACCTGAGCTGAAGGCAGACACTTTACCAACGAAGCCACCCATATGCCCCTCCAGCTACTGTTCTAAATACTCTACATATATGAACTAATCTTCACAAGAAATAAGAAGTAGATACCATATCCCAGGTAATGTAACAGATGTCCCCGAGCTACACAGGTGGGAAATAATGACCATGGAATCCGAACCCATGCAGTATGAAGAGTCTGGAGGGCCATCTTCAGTTCTCACCATAGAGTCTCTCAGCAATTACTCACTTGAATTAAGTGCTTACTGCATACCAAGATCTCTAAGCACCTAACACCAATGCACTATTTAACCCGTATGCTATGACTTTCCTTTGTGAATTTCGACAGATGCTGCAGATTGATTTTCCCTTTTTGTTTTCTCTTTTTTCCCTCTATGGAGCACATTTTTAAATGAAAAATTTCACATAAAAATCCACATTTATGGTTTCTTTTAATTAAATAAAAGATTGGCCACATTAAACATACCCCCTAAGACATACATATTTGCTAACAATGGCATGGGCCTCGGTCTCTCCCCCCACCATGATCCTCACCCTACTGCCACATCATACTTCTGATCTAAGTCTTAAATCACCTGTTTGATCATCGGGGATATTTGAGCATATGATACTTAGTGTAAACATACCTGTGTGGTAAAAATGAGGAGACTGCAAAGGGATAGATCATACAGCCCAATTCAAACTCCTAGTCTCATAGGTCCCTGTTTCCTTAATCTTTTTAAGCCTAAATCTAAAATAAGGTTACCGACAGTATTTAGAGTGTCATGAAATAAATTAGATAATGCATGAAAATAATTAAGCTTAGTGTTCAATAATAATTTGTTCTTGCTTTTTTTACTTAAGAACAATTGGAAGTTAGGATAAATAGGTCACATCCACCATCTGAGGCAGTCAAGGCTGGAGCATAGACCAGAAAGGCAGAAAAGGCTGCTTATTGTGTTGGAAAATGCTCATGGCAGAGGAGAGATTCTGCTGGAAGAGAAACTTCCAGCTCCTAAGAGAGCACATTTCCTAGACAGAAGCACTGTCCAGTGACACCTCCAGAGAAAGGTCTGGTCCAATGGATGAGAACAAACTATCACTTATGGATTTATCTCCCTGAGTGGAGTCACAGAATTCACCTGTGTAGCAGAGTGATTATAGCATAATGAAATACTGAATTGCATTTTTGAGTAATTCAGCTATCTTCCCCAGGCTTGAGGCAGGGATCCATAATTTTTCCTTTGTTGGGTGTATCCTTTATGTTCTTCTCTGCTGTTCCATTATACCCTTTCCACGGGCCACCGCCCCGACCCAGGCCTGTGGTTCCTCCCGCATGAACCATATGAAGAGTCTATTAATTAACCTCTTTGCCCTCAATCTGTCACCAACTTCAGTCCCAATGACAGACTGTTACAGCACTAATAAATGTTCTAAAATGTCATTTTATAGATCACCTTTATTTTTAACATTTTGTCTTGGCTCCCCATCACCTCTGGAATAAAAAATCTAAATGTAGCCATAATAGGGGCCTGGTGTGGGGAGGGGGTCCTTGTCCCCACTTCGCCCCAGATCACCCAAAAACCCTTTACCCTTGACCTTTGACCCTTGATTGCACCAACCAGAACACCCTCCTCACTTGCACATTCACATCCACATCAACTTTAGCCAAATCCTGCACAACCATCACGGGGAAGCCATAGCCTAGCAGTATGCATGTTTTGTATCATGGGTTCATGACATTTTCTCAAAGGGACCAGAGGTAGATTATGTCAGGCTCTGCAGGGCATCTGGTAGGTGTGGCAACTACTCAACCTGCCCTGGGCACAGAAGAGGAACAGGCAATAGGTAAGGAGAAGGTACTGCTTTCTGATATAGCTTTATCATGGAGACTCGAATAAACTTTATAGAGCACTCATGGGCCACACAGCATTATTCTTTTGATATTTCCCAGCCAATTAAAAATGTAAAAACATTCTTAGTTTGTGAACTGTACAACATAAGCGGAGAGCACAGCAGATGGTAGCTTGCTGACCTCGGTTTCACACGCATACTGTAGTTGATCCACAACTTTTCTTTTCACTCCTTTACTGAGGTGTAACTTACATGTAGTAACCTTGATTGCATCCATCTTCAGCGAACAGTCCAGTGGATTTTGACAGTTGTATACAATCACATTATGGTAACACTGATCAGGACGTGAAACATTTCCAAAGTCTTAGGAAGCTCCTTCCTGGCATCTTTTAAAGATAACCCTACCAAAGCATAACCTCTTGTTGTCATAAACGCACTCTCTCTGCTTCCTTCCAGAAGGCCTAGGCTACACACATAAAGATGATGGCTCAGCACAGAGTCATGTACTTTTAAATGAAACTTTAGATACCATTAACCATTACAACCACCTAGAAGAATGCCTTTTATTTCAGTCATGGGTCTCATCTGATTAGAAACCTCAAAAGGCAGCTCTGGAAACACACACTCATTTTTTCTGGGCACTTTCTGCCAAAGCCGTAGCTCCTTACCTGGGCCAAGGTGAGCGTTGCCTGCTGGCAGGTGCTGCACTGCACCCTCAGTTTTCCTGGCTGTATTCTTTGACAGGGGCCTTTGCAGTAAACATAAAAGCTGTTGTAGGTTCGTCTACCGGCTGGGTGGAAAGAAAAAAAAAAAGCAGAGAAATAGCCAATCAACATTGAATCCAAATTGAGACGAATTTTCAAATGAACTCCCCAGGAGCATTCTGAAACATTAGTGGGATAAAGGTTCCCACAAGGATACAACAATTTAATTTAGAAAATCTAGTTTTATGCTCAAGAGTGAAAATCTTTTCTTCTTCTTGCCAACAGCCTCACTGACTTTACTCAGCAAAGTAAGCGACCTGCTGCCAGGAGAGCTGGCCAAGTGTATTTGCAACGCAGGGAAGTTAAATGCATTCTGTGTTACTGATGTTTTTAAAAAGGATAGAAAGTGCAGGAAATTTAAAGACCACTTCTCCTGAATTCTATTTCATGCTTCTTTACACAGTTTTGAAAGCTCTAGATTTTTCCTCTTAAAATCTTATTTATAGGGACATACCAGCCCATTTCTCTTGATATGTCTGGGATGATCACAGTTTGCTGGCTTTCCAGTGAAGACTTTCCAACACAGAGTTACACTTGAAGTAAGACAAGAGTCCTGAGGGGCTTAAACAGTCCTGAGACACTGCCTAGCAGCAGTGTGCAGAAATGGGTGCTTTGTGTTTCACTAGTGCTTTCTCCCTATACAAATGTCATTTGAACGATACAAGAATAAAAGCTGGGCAAAAAAAGAAAATCAATAATTAAAATATCTCTGATCACTTCTCTCAAATGTCAGCAAGCAGAAATAGTGCTACTCTGTACATCGGGGGGACCTTTCAGAGCAGTGTCCCACTGCCATTTCTACAAAGAGCTCACTTTATTTAGAGGCACTCACTAATGAAATAACTGCCTTTTTAAAGGTATAATGTTAGTAATTCTTTTAATCCTTACACCTTATTTCCTGTTGTGTGTGGGGTTACATAAAATTCCATGGCATGTGAATTTTGCTTATGATTTTGCTATTATCATTAAGATCATCTACAAGTAATAAAGGATATTTTATCTTTATGAAAGAGTGAAAACCTTCAGCCTCCCAAACACATACTGCTTATTAAAAACAGCTAGTACAAAACAATGAGAAACAAGAAGAGATCCTAAAGTCTCCATGCAGCCCCATTTCTTTCTTACTAATTTATTTTTTAAAAAGCCTTTGAAGGCATCTTGGAATTGTCCTTTGTTCAGCAATCTTTACTATTATTTTAAGTGACAATACTTTGTAAAATGTAAAGTACAATAAAAATGTCAAATTTTATTTCAATGTTTGTTAATATATAATTATTACTCTCCAGAGATTAATATTTAGCCTCCAGTGTGAAGGGAAGATAAAATATAAACATAGGTCTGTACTGATAAACTATGTTTTTCTGATGCTTCTTTGTAGCTTTGGTGCCTTTAATGGGCAAAATATTCAAGTCTATAAATATCACATTGTTACTAGCACATATGATAATTACATAAGAAATATTCCTCAGGTTTTATATATATCACAAATGTTATTGGATAGAACCATATATTAAATTGATAGAAATATCATAACAACTGGCAGAGTATTAGAACACTACAAGGACTGACGATTTTACCATGTAGCAAGAGGAGTGTAGTGAAGGATGCAGGAACCCTTACGGTTACAACCTTGTTCAGAAATAGGAACAAATCAATGTCACAATTTTCATAACCTGCTGTAAAGGTTAAATAAAAAAAGCAGAAGAAGAAAAAGAAGAAGAAGAAGAAAAAGGAGGAGAAACAGGAATGGGGAAAAGAGAGGCTTATGAGGGGGAGCCAGGGTGGCGAAGACACTAGCATTGTTGAAAGAGCATATTAGCAGCAGCTTTACAATAGTAAATGATGCATCTATGAAACTGCAGGAAGCTAAATGACTCCTCTCTCTCCCTTAGGGCAAGAGCAATGTTTGCAATATTGTTTCAGCAAATGATGTAGCCAGGCGCAATCCAGAGACTGGGGAACTCTTCCACTCTGTGTGCTACAACCTTCACCAAAGTCCTTGAGAAGTTAGTCAGAAAATACTGCATGCCCACGTCTGCGCCCTAGAAGCATACAAGATGACATGCAATCTATTACACGGTGCCTCCCAGAGCCAGCTGCAAGCTGGGGATTAATAGCCAGTCTAAGGAAGATCAAGGTCGGGCCAATCCTGGCTACGGCACATTTCACGCTGTTGGCTTTACTTGGTCAAGAAGTCTGGGCTTTCCGGTCAATCCTGAGACCCCCTTTTCAGGATGGCTTCCTCACTAATTTGGCCTCATCACACTATTTAAAGTTGGCAAACTTCTCTGTGTCATGTTGAGGTCTGGAGTGCACAGGACAGGAATAAGAATGAACACCATGCTGAGATCTTTTCTGGGCAATGTTCTCATTGGCCTGACTGAGGGTCTGAGGTACAGAGTTTTGAATATGGAGCCGTAGTCCTATAGGAATGGCAAGGCAATGTGAAGGATGCTCCAGCTGTATCACTGCAGGTCAAAAATGTGAATCTCCTTCCCTTTCTACTTCTGCCTGGATCTTACAATCCTCCTTCTCGCCTAATCAACTCTTCCATATGGTGATCCCTTCACTGCCCAAAATAATCGATGCAGCTTGTGTTTGTGTTTATAATACATCCCTCTTTTATAGAATGGGTTTTCAAAACTAGAGAAATACTTCAAACGTATTACGCATTATATCCTTCACTGTAGTTGACCAGTTGTGAACATTTTGCCATATTTTGAGTGCGCTCCCTGTGTGTGTGTGTGTACATAAACATATGTACACATATACCACCCATACATATTTCTGGATGAAACATTTATAATTAAGTTACAGACATCATGCTACTCATCCCTGGATCCCTTCAAAACATTCTAAAAATATGATGGACTTTTTCCTATAAAACCATAGAGCTCTTTGAGTGATTCGGTTATGTCAGTAGTTCTGTTCAGAGGTTAATAAGTATATTTTCAGTACATCCTATAGAACACTACCATGGATTGCAAGCTGTGAGAAGGTGTCAAGCCAAAATCCCTGGGATTCCTCAGCCAAATCATTTTCAATAAGGCCAAAATTAAGCCAAGTCAAGCCCTTTCCCTGTGGGATATTCAGAGCACTGTGACTCTGTGAGGGAAGTCTAGAGCACAGCACATCCCAGACTTTAGCTGACCTCAGGAGTTTTCCTTTTGTGGAGCATTTTGTGAAACTGTTTCTCAGGAAAAAATTTTGAAAAAAAAAATCTGGAGGAAGGATTCAACTCACCGTAAAAGGCTGTATGTACAGCATGCGAAACTGCTCATGTTTCTAAACTCAACTTTAATCAGCTGCTTCTAAACAGCCTGCTGACAATTAAGTTCTTCCATCCACCACAGCTATCACATTTTTTGTGTTATTTATTATTATTTTTTAATCATAAGCCAGGAGGCTTAGTCTATTAATGTAATGATTCTACAAAGCAAAGCATATTCCTTTCACATAGAAGTCCTTTTTTTTTTTTTTTTTTTCTGGACAGAAGTTAAAAGCACAGCTAGTGTTCAGGGCTCTTCAAAGTGTGAGTCACTGTGTTCATTTAAAGAGCCCCTAAGGTTTCCTTACCATTGTGCTTTTATCATTATCTTTAGTTTTTCTCTCACTTTGTCAGTTAACATAATCCTTAGTCAATTCTCCATTCTTTCCTTGTTCTTCCTACTTGATCTGAGAAATTGCAGAAATCACTAATAATATTCACAACATACAAAATAAAGTCCCTTTTAAAAAGGACATATATTGGGGTGCCCAGGTGACTCAATGGCTGAGCATCCAGCTCTTAGTTTTAGCTCAGGTTGTGATCCCAGGGTCCTGGAATAGAGCCCCACGTTGGGCTCTGCACTCAGCAGGGAGTCTGCTTGAGAGTCTCTCTCCCTCTTCCTTTGCCCCTCCCCCCATTCACACACATGCAGGTACATTTTCTCACTCTCAAAAAAATAAATAAATCTTTAAAAACAAATAAGGATATGTATTATTTGCCTTGGCTTTCTAAGAAACTGGCATAATGTGCATAGTTTCCATTTTTAAAATGCATTTCAGATGATGGGTTTATGGCCTAATGCAGTTATTTTAATAAGACTGATGAATACTTAAGAAAACTCCTTCTGATTCTCATGAAAACTTTTCTTTGACCTCAGAAGTTTTCACCACTAAGAATAACCACAGAGAATCGAGAGTTTAATTGCTTGGATAATTTGTTTATTGTGGAGGAAAGAGTGAGAGTCACCATTTTTAAAGCACAGCAAAATAATGTTTACTGTCAATGTACTATAAAATCACAGGCCTATGATTGATTTACTAATATATTTATCATATATGATCATATTAAAATATTAAATAGAACAAGAGAACCTTCTGTGACCATTGAAATATTCTCCAGCTGACTCCCATATGGTAGCCACCATGCACTTAACCTAGAATTTCAAAGGCCGGGAGGAATCACGGAGGGACTCATCCCATTAGCACAGAAGAGGAGAGTAAATAACAATGTTGTGTCTGCTCCCTTCATTCTCTCCCTCTCAAGACTGCAGAAACAATACGCAGGAGATTCTTCTGTCACACTGACAAGTACAGAAGCTTGCGGTTAAGTGGACTAATATGGAAACATATTAGTGTTGGCTGGTGAGAAGGGAACAGGGGACAGTTTGAGCTTGAATCACCATGAGGTAGGACTTGGGGACTTGCTGCATTAGAAGCCGAACAGAGCTTCCCTCTCATTTCTTCCTTGCACGTGCCCATGCCCTACACCAGGTGGAAAAAGTCTTGATGTGCGACTGGACAGTAATTGCTGCATCTTCACAGCCATCAGCATCTCTGACCCATACTTTCAAATTCTGGCTGAAATGGCACATCCCCTAAGAATTCTTCCTTTGGGGCAGCCTGGGTGGCTCAGCGGTTTAGTGCCGCCTTCATCCCAGGGTATGATCCTGGAGACCTGGGATCAAGTTCCACATCAGGCTCCCTGCGTGGAGCCTGCTTCTCCCTCTGCCTATATCTCTGCCTCTCTCTTTCTCTCTGT